AATCGATGTTTTAGGAAAAAAATATTTTTTGTTGAATGGATTAACCTCAAATTTAAAAGCCATACAGATTCGGAATCCAGACACCTTCTACTATGTTTTTGGTGCAACATTTTCTTAGTTCAGATCTATAAGTAGAGAGAAAAAACGTATCTTTCAAACTAACAATGTTTTCTAACTGCTATGATTACTAAAATGCATAGATGTCGCGAAGTACAAGAAGCGGGGAGAGGGTCCTCCGATTCCAGAATAACTCGAAAAAGTTTAAAAATGAAAGTAAAGATATGATTTGCCGAAAAATACGCAAGTTTTGAAATACAAAACGCTTTGAGACATAATTCCTTTACATTTAACGATAAAGCGTACTGATTTATCGCCATAACCTGCGTCTCGATCTTTGCCTTTGGAAGTAAACGCAGGGGTCAAAGGCTTTTATTTTATTTTATTATGCAACATCAAATCAAAGCTCATGATTTTCTCTCTGCATTTCCACATGTTGTTATCTTTGTTAGCATACGCCAGATAGTACAAAAACTTATTTTATTTGAGAGGAAAGAATCTCAAAAAGCAGGGAGGAGGTCTCCCTGTCTACGCCTGTTGTACCTATGGTCTTTCAGGTGAAATCCGATTTTCTAGGCTCAGACACTCTTTCAAGTAAAAATAAGGTCGTATTTGGATTGAGCCCTTAAAAATGCATCGAATACTGTGTACGAAATCATATTCCGACAGAAAAAATATTTTAACGAAAAATATGAGCAAGAGTCCTTCCTCAGCCGTTTTTGATCGGAAAAAAGTTTTTTTTGAAAATCGGTTTTTTCATTAAAACACCACTCTCTGAATTTTAGACTACTGTTTCGAAGAAGAAAAAACCGTTTCTGACCAGAAAAAGCCTGCACTTGGCATAAGAAAATTGCCCACTGTGTACTATATATGGTCACTCTTAATACGTTCAAGATGTAGATAATGACACATTTTAGTCGCTAGCTTCAACTGCATATGTTCGACAATTCATCCACCGTATCTCGTGGCACTTTCGTCAATGAAATTGTAGTTTTCGAATTCACAAAACGTTCAATAAAAAACTTATCAGTTAGTGTTTTCTAAATGACTTTTCAACGGTGATATATAACGTATATTTATTCTTAGGCGCCACATTAATTATGAGAAATCTGCAGTACAAATTCTTTTGTTCGAAGTTACATTGAAATATTTTTATATACGAAAATGTATTATAAACTTACTTGTTATTCAAATCCTTTTCTCATATATGTGTTGATTGGATTTATTTAAAGCTAAAAACTTTCAATCTTTGCTTATTTGTTTTGCCATGATTTTTTTTTTTAATCACAATATTCGAAATTAAAGTATAGTGTAAAACAAAGAGATTCCTTTTTTTTTACTTTCTCTAAATTAAATGAAAACAATACAATGATTTGAATTGTTGTAAATAAAACTAACAGTCGAATACAAAAATATTATCTAGGTACTGATGTTAACGATGAAAGAAAGAACTCAATTATTTTCTACTAGTAACCTTACGGCATATATGGATTTATCAAATGATTTTGAATTAAGTATTTCAAGTGCTTTTACTACAACGAAAACTTTGAGATGTGTATATAATGCTAGAAGGGAACAGTATAAAATCAACAATTGAGTGACAACTGATTATAAAAATAGTTGAGAGTAGGCAAAATGAAAGTGAGAATAATAGACAGAAAGGAACAATTGATATTACAACATCATATTCAATTAGTTCTCATGATTGATTATTCAAAGTTGAATACTATCCCATCCATACTTTTCTCTATTATTGTCTTTTTACGAACTTATCCTTGGAAAAAGAAATTAAATTTAGTCAAATGTATTTAAGCATAGTTGTCCAACATACACAATTTTCGTTAGATTATATTCACTTCGTTCAACTCATATACACATGAACTCTTTCAGAACTCCTACTAATTTTTTATGATGTTAGTTTGTTTTCTATAAAACAAATTACCTAATAAAATTCCCTGAAATAGTTAATGAAGTTTCTATCAGAAAAGTTGATATCTGCTCAGATCTCTACAGAAAAGATGTGATTTATGAAAATGCTAAACAAGAATTGGAAATTAATAAATTCGGTTAAATTCAAGCATTTTTAGGAACAAGTATAATCATGAAATTGAAGTACGTACAATTATCAGATATAAAAAGAACTTTTACTTCAGTGAACTATCTTTAAAACACAGTGCTAAACCTAGCAGTTCTTGACCTCAGATTATTTTTTCTTATGAGCAAATTTCAGCTTATTCTCGATCTGGCATCGCGAGAAGACAGCTTTAGATTTAAAATCGATGAAAAGCAAAGTGTAAATTGAGTTTTTCTTTGAATATTTAAATCTAAGAAGAGAAATGCACTAGTCCAGCCGTTTGAGAAGAAATAATGGAAGCAAACAAGTAGAGTACGTGTAAAAGTATACAAAAAAAATGTAATAATAGCCGCAAGTTAAGTATTTTATATACTTGAGTGAAAATCATTAAGTGGTGCAATACACTTTTCAATGTGAAACACTGTTCTTGTTGTTTTTCTCTTATTCACTTTTGTACATGCAGAATAAAAGTTGTTAAAAAAAAAGAGTTGCAAAATATTTGTTAAAGTCTATTGCACAGCAGCATTTTTTTTTTAAATGGATTATAAAACGGCAGCTAACGTCGTTTTGTTTGTTTTTTATATTATAAATATATTTTTTTTTACTTCTTCGTGTCACTTTAATTTCTAGTATTGGCAATTGAACACAAATTGCTTTATATTAAAAATCAAAATGGAAACAAAAGTATATTTAAGAAATATTGTGTTCTTGAAAATAATTTCTTGCAAATATCTTACTTAAGTGATCATAATTCAAGAGTTTTTTTAAGCATAGCAGGGGTAGCATGATTAAAGATCAATCATACAAACAAGTTATCGTAATTTGATTAAAATGTAAGTAGTTATTTATCATCTTCATTTGTTAATGAGACTTCAAATAAGAAAACGTTTAGTCTTATGTATTCAACAGATAGATTGGAGAAAGTTCTGCCGAATTCGAAAATTATATTTCATTTGCTTTTTACATTTGAAATGAAGTTTAATTCGTTCAAATTTTAATAAGAATTGAGTTTAAAACAAGTGTGCTAAAAGTCATTCAAGCATATCAATCGAAAACGAATAAAAAATTTAATAACATACACACATGAGTATCATATCCTCTACTAATGGGGATTCAATATTTTTGTAAAAAAGTTTGCTTGAAATCACATTTGGAGGACTTTATTTTAAATGTGGGATCCTAAAAGAGCACTTCTCTTCTAAAACAGTGATATGTATCAGCGCTAGGTATGGTCGTTTATTCAAATTGAAGAAAAAGTTTATTAGAAAACATCGCTGTTTAATTACCGTGTTTTTACAAGCATAACAAATACAGTAGCGAAGTTTTTCATGTTCGACAATTAATCAGAACGTCCATACTTATGTGTGTTATTCTGCTTTTCATGCTCTGTAGATCGTTGGGTGTTTTTGATTAATAGAAATCTTGCTGGATTTTGATGCTTTTCAGAAAAACAAAAGTAATTGAGATATTTCGCTAAAAATCAGTTAAGATTAAAAAGTGTGTCCAGCAATCGTAAATACATAAGCTTATTAGCATATACCTGAATAAAGTAATAAATAGATTAAAATCAGAACATATGATGAACGGAGAATTTGAGCACTCACTGTAACATACATAGAATATAGTCGGTCTCTTTTTTAAGACCGTATCTTAAACCTTACTTTTAGTGGAGAATATTGTCGTAAGGCGCTATAAAGTTTTTAAATTAAGGATCAAATTCTTCACTTTACGTATTGAGAAATTTCAGTATCTAAAAATATGCTGTTTAGTATAAAGGTGAGCAACCAGCGGTAGGAACTCGTACTGAGCTTACAGTTCAGTTTTCAGTACTTTTAATACAAATGATAGATTCTTCCCGAAATGTTGTTTTCTCAAGGAGTTATGGTACGAAAAGTCGTACATATTACTAATTCAACAGAAAATGAAGATAAATGTGTTGGACTACGCCTGAGCTGAAATACGATTAAGTTTCTAAATAAGATACAGTACGTCATTGAGAAATTTATTCCAGTTAGAAATATCTCAGTTGCTATTTTATATCATTTAAAAGTATTCGATACCTAACTGAGATATGCAGAATAAAGCGTGGATTTGTCAACCAAGAGTCGAACAACTTTAGCCAAAGCACACAGTGTACAGATATACTATGTGATACAAGGTTCCAACACTGTATCACTAATTCTTACTTTTTGCTTAGTCAAAGTACCATTATCAGCTGCACTACCGTCTGACTAGTATGCAGATGTTTGTAGTGTACTGACTGAAGAATAACATACAAGATTACTGAGAGCAACATTGGCTATAAAGTAGTGGAGAACAGTGGCGGATTCAGGGCACCGAAAATTTTGATTTCATACTATTATACTCCCCTTCTTGTGCAACGTGTCGAGCGCATAGAACTTTTCAGCAATTGCGTTTTTATTATAAACATATTAAAAACAGTAAGAAAGAAGAGTATAAAATCTACTGACTATCGTTTCTACAAATCCGCCAGCACCGAAAATTTTTTCTAGATCCGCCGCTGATGGAGAGGCTCAATCACAAGATCTTTTTCCGATTATGAATTGAGATAAAAGTACACTAGTAAGGAAAATGTGACCTTTATTGAAAACTTAGGCAAATTTAGTAGATAATTCAAAAATCTTTAGAAACGGGCTGAAATATGTAGTAGTTCTGCCGTCGGCGACTACGCTACTATTAAAACGTCTACGAGCTCGAACAGCTTACCCACTCAAAACCTCTGATGCAATCATTTCCATCGTTGGCAAAAAAAAAAGTAATTTTTATATATAAATTTAGCACTCTTCTTGAATCACGTACGGCAGAAAACTCCCTCCACTAAACTTATCTGCTATAGAAAGATAAAGGAATGAGTTTCGTATACTCTATTGGTCAGTATAATGGAGATTGTTCATGATATAGTCGATATAGAGAACTAAAGCTTAAACGTAACCAATCGTCTTTTTTCCTTCTTTCTACGTTTCTTTTTCTCGCTTGAAAATTTGTATGGTTGTTATACGCTGTACGAAAAGAAATTGAATTTTGAAGAAAAGAAAAGCAAAAATTTTGAATTCTATTAAAAAGTCAAACGCTGATAGATACGATTTACTCATCGTAATAGAATAGAAAAAAAAAAGAACTCTGTTTACTCACTACGAGAAGGGATGAAGATTATTTTTTTGAGTTGTTTTCACAAACAGAGAAAAATTCTCTCTCACATGGGGGGCGCTCCCGTGTCTAAACATTCTTTTTTTTTCTTCTCTATTATTGAATTATTGATCTTTGAATAGGGATATAAAAATTGTTAAAGACATTTCAAGTATTGTAGTTAAAGTGCACTGTTGTTTTTATCCGTTTTAATTACTCTTAATAAAAGTAGAAAATCAAGACTGAAGATAGAATAAAAGCAAGATATATATATATATATATATATAGTGTTTCATATGTGCATATTTGCTGCTGAGCAGCATTATTTACCTTGATATTTATCAAATTCCTCGAAAAAAAAGAGAAACGACAGCGGTGACGACATACAAACATAACCACTTACGTCGAAATACCTTCATCTCATCGTATTATCTATTACTAAGATTATGAAATTTACGTAGTTAACGTAATTTTTTTACGAGAAAAAAGAATAAAAAGAAAAAGAAAGAAGAACTCGACGGGCTCTTGAGCATCATATTTAAAGTGGAACACTCTAAGTATACAACGTATGTAAAATTAATTTTTTTTTTGTGTGTGTGCGCTTCCTCTCTCACTTTTTTTCTTCTATTTTTTGTGGTTGTTTTGTTTGATACTCACTTCAAACTTTTCGAGTACCTATTCTTGAAAAACCGAGAGCACTACTACACCACCTATAGCCAAGTAAAAAACACGTGTTGTTCGCGCATATTTATGCGAGCTGATTACTATGTCAGTTTTCGAAAAAATAATTTCAAGTGTTTTGAGCTGCTCAATAATTCCTCGTAATAATTTATAAAATTTTTGGAATACATTATCATGTGTACAAAACGATATAAGAGTCAGCTGAAATGTTCTCTCATCCATTGGTCAAATTTAAATCCATTTCCATCATTTTGTAGTCATTACTATTGTTTGTATTATACAGTATCATCGGTATGCTCAAGTATCGGCGGATCTGTCTTCTCTACACTAATACAATCACTAAAAATTTTCTCTACGTTTTATTTAGATACTGGTGTTAATATGAATTCATTGAAAAACGAATTAACAAATGTTCACTCATCTTATCCACAATTACTTGGTTATGGTTCATCCAGTTGGGGAAATGACAATAGTTGTTTTGGTATGTATGTAATTTCTTACTAAATCATAATTGGTTTACAAAAGCTTTGATTCTACAAGATTTACATATATTTATCAAAGCAGTGATTGACGAAACATGAGAGAGAGAGAGAGCTCATTCTCTTTTTTAAAAATGTCAATGAACTATAGTCTGCTCATGTTAACTAAATTGTTTTGTACTCTACATGGAATCACATAACTCTATTGTAGTTTTAATAAAAACGGAAATCAACAGTCCGTTTATCTTTTGCCGACAATTAAAAAAAAAAATCTATAGACATCTCTATAATTCTTTTCTGTATACCTTTTTTTCACTAGAAGAAAATCATTTCCCCATAGACATAAATAGAGAAAACCGGAAAAACGATTGAAAAATAAAAACGTTTTTATAAGCGATTTTCAACTAAAAAAATATTGTTTGAATGAAAATATTTATGCATAGTCATGCTTCTAATAAAATGACCAAAAAAAAATTATTTAATTTTTTTTCTATTTGAAAACGGCAATAGTGTTTCTTTAATAAAGACGAGAAGGATGAACCACTTCAAATCATTGCAATTCTTTCTTACATTATTCGAAAATATCTAAATACAGGCTTTTTATATAGACTATCATATATATATATCGAAGGCAAATAGTACTGCATTAATATAAACGTCATAATATAACCAACAAACATCTAATCCTACGCATATCATTTCAGAAAAATAAACTGCAAAATTAAACTCTAATTTAAATAAGAAACTGTACTAAATATCATGTTATTTCTCGGATACTCAATCAAAGCAAAATCAACTGTCTGATTATTGATTCATCTATAAATATACTGTATCTTGTTTATAGTTGATTATTACTGATACTCTTCATTTTTGAAACACTTTTAGATATGAACAATTTACCATTCTATGCCTATGATCCAAATGTGTCTTTGCATATGAAACAATCATATTCAGCATTAGCAGCTGCAGCAGCCGTCAATTTCAACAATTCAGAATTTAAATCAGAAAAACCAAAATTAGAACCTTATATACCAAATAATGGCAATCATCTTTCACAACAACATCATTTCTTTTGTCAAACTCATCAACCTTGTGGATCACCAACATCCATTTCTGATTCTCATCATGTTACATCAAAATCTTATAATACAGTAACTACAAATTCATTTCCATCATCGAAAAACATACGTCAGAAGTACGTATTTTTGTTATTGTTGAAGTTTTTTCCTTTTGCTTATGAAAGTTTTGTTTAGTTCAAAGAGAAATTTTAATCACTTGTTATCACAGTGTCGTGAATGGAACAGTGAAGATTCGAAAGAGGAAGAAGATGATCAAGATGTAACTGAAGTTGTCTATACGGTCGGTACAAGTGGTGAAACGGCGACTAGTACTCCAATAAAAGATGGAAATGAGGAAAATTCTGCAAATAACAATAGTTCATCATCGTCATATTCAAATACAAACAATGATAAAACAATAAATGCAGACACTACTACTGCTACTACTAAAAAACGTAAACGACGTATATTATTTTCGAAACAACAAATAGCTTCATTAGAACATCGTTTTCGTGAGCAACGTTATTTATCTGCACCTGAACGAGATAATTTAGCAAAACATATTAATTTATCAGCAAATCAAGTTAAAATATGGTTTCAAAATCATCGATATAAACTAAAACGAACAAAACAACATGATAATCATAATTCAAAAGGATATCAAGATATTTTTGATCCAATACAAAATTCAAATGTTTCATCACGTCGAATACCTGTTCCATTGTTTGTTCAAGATGGAAAATTATGTTCGGGTAGTTCACTTTACGGATGTGGAATTCCGTCTCCAACATCATCAGTGGCTTATAGTCCTCATTCACGAACGGACACATTGCCAAATATTAATTCTTTAAATGCAGCGGGATTTGATTTTACCTATAATACTGCTTACAATGCATACATGTCATCGATAAGTAATCAATATCCATCTTCACATTTTCCTAATTTCGGACCAACAAATTATGGCTGTGGTAGTTGGTCAGGAGCATGGCCATAAAAACACAACTATGTCCAACTATTCTCAAAGAATATGTATGTACTATTAGGTTCTTCCTGTTTTTGTTTTGTATCTTTTAATGATACGACGCTTGTTTACTTTGCTTTTTTTGTACATTTTTACCAAAAATACACAAATAGATCGATCAATCACGGTTGATCTATCTCAAGTTAACAAAATTCATTTGAAAAAATATTACGGACACAGAAAGAAACTTACGCCACGAATATTTTTGTGTTTGAGTCCAAATTTAAGGGCTGTATTTCTAATATCATTTAGCTTATTACTAGTGCATTTTCTCCTTTTGAGTTAAATAGTTGATTAAGTATACTAGAATGATCAGAGTTCAATATTAACGATAATGGAGGGGAGTGCTCTCTTCATTGTGTTTAGGATCTCAAGAATGTAGGAAAAATTACACATTGAAAATCAAATATAGATAACATATCCGCGCTGTCGATCAATAAAAGAGACATCTATTGCTCTCTCTTCTTTCTCTCTCTCCATAAAAACGAAAGAGAAATGTTACTGATTGAATATTCAATATTATACCATCGTTTACATACCTTTTAACTGATAAGAAAAAGCAATAACGTGTTATCTGTTTGGTATATAAAGTCTCTTCATCTCTATTTTTTTTGTTAACAGCATGTACAAACAAAGAAATGATAAAAAATATTGACCTGTCAAATAAAACAAGATAAATCAGGTTGCAAAAACACTTTCTGAGCTAGAAGAGTACGATCTGATGGAAAAAAAGTCTCTTTTATGATGATAGTCAAATGCTCAAATATTGCTGATATGTAAAAAAAATCAAAATACAGAATATATTTGAAATACTATTAGATTGCTTGATAGTGTTAGAATTTCAAGAGTTCGTCATTATAAATTTGAAAAGTAATTTTCCAATATAATATGAAAAAAATGTTATGCATCGTAGAATCAAAAGAAAAACTAATGACAATTTTTTGATTTTTAGTTTTGCAATAGTTTAATATTGTTGTTAAAAGAATCTGTTATACTAATTTATTGTGAATCTGTCAATCATAATCTACATTTCAATATTCTCTTTCTCTATATTTTTTGAGCTGATTATGATGATGATTATAATTTAACGTATGATATATTCAACTGTTTCACCAATAAGAAAATAATATTGAAATAATTTATGAATAAAAAAAGTCAAGTGTCGTACTTAGATAGAATTGAAAAGAAATTTACATATAATGTTGATATATATTCAAAAAACTATCATATGTATCACAACGACGTGTGTGTGTGTCTAGAATGAGAAATATAGATGCGCATAATTTGTCTTAGTATAAAATCAAAATTAAAAAACATCGATTAATTAATCACCTTTTCTGGTGTAGGAGGCGACAAAATCTTTGTTTATTGTAAAAAGAGAGATATTTAGAGTTTCTTTTTAAGAAAAAAAAATGAACAAATCCTTGCACTCTAATACCGACCGCATAGTCATTTATTTTTCAATAATTTGATATACATAGATTAATTAAGTTAGTTACTGAAGAAGAGTTTTTAATTTTAGCATTTAAACGTCTGGTATACATATATATATATATATATATACGTTTCGCTTTGACCATAATCTTTGAGACCTATTTTCATGTCATATCTGTGACAACCAAGATCTTGAAGTAGTCTCAAAAAAATACGTTAGTTTCATGATTATCGAGTAGTTGAAACACTTACAACGGGGAAGACCGATAAGAGACCATTTTTCTGCTATTTGCGACTCATTTTTATGAATAATTTTTTTCTTCTTGTTCGAATGTTTGCCTTAGGTACACACAGAGAAAATCAAATACATATACACAGGTAATATTTACGGTGTTATTATTATATTGCTGATAAGGCAACAAACATTTTCATTGGCTAAACCATTTCTGCCTAAGTATATTCGATTCGTTCAGACATTTTTCTTTTCCATTCAATACACAGAGTTATTTTATACTACTATTATAAAGATAAATATTCTTTTCTTAGATTTACATTTTTTGAATGAAACAATACAAATTTTGTAGCATAAATAAAAATCTGTTTTTTTTAATGTCTTTCTTGATTTTTACGGCAAACAGCAATAAATTAGAGCTATTTATTGACGATCTTTCAACATGAAACTATCGATCATGTTTTGATCTGATATGATATTTACGAATTTCAGAAGAATAGCTAATATGTTCATGGGCATGGAAGAAAGGTATGGTATTCCTGTGTGAATATCAAAAATATTCCAATATTGAACAACAGTTCTCTATTTTCGATTGATGTTCATTTAGAGAAAAATCAATTGAAATTCAAATGTTGCTCCTCCCAATGAGAAGCGATATTTAAAAAAAAATTTTCATCATTTGAAAGTTATAGTTGCTACGAAGTGGATAATGGATAAACGTTTGATGACGGTGTATTTATAGATGATGAATTGCAAACTAATTTGATTTCATTGAATTTTTTCTATTTGAGAAACTCCTTTTTCGTAGTTTTATTGAACAAACAAATCTTTGTGCGACGATGCGCGTATATAATACGTTCTGCAAAAAAAGAAAAAGACGGTTACATATACGAGCGTATCATCCAAAAAGAAAAATCATTTTCCATTTCAATGATCAAATTTGATTATTTCACTCATTGATTACTTAACACAGTATATCGGAGGGAATGAGAATAACAGAACATTATTAGTGAATGATCGAGCAGAATTTCATTATTGCTAGCAATAACAGACATACACACATAAATCATATTATCTCTTGTTTGAATAACAAATCAGATTTCAAAAATACAATGCCTTCTTGAGTTACAGTTAACAACGGGGACATCGAAGCTTTGGAACACATACCAACGTCTGTCATTTCTAGAAGCGCAACTTCTAACATTGGCTTTCGATCAACTGTGGTATATCATCGTATGACAAACTGGAGCGAACTAATTCTAATTTCGTTTTTCCGTAACCTGTACGATGGAGAAGTTCAAAAAAATATATAACCTTAGAAAGAAGAAAACTTTTTACTGTTACTCACCTTAGTCTATTTCATCAAACTTTAACGGGAGAATTTTTTAAAACAATAAAATAGACATAATACATAGTCAGAATTGGCTTTACTAAAGTAGTAGCCAACAGTTTACCAGCGGACAGACTCAAGATTTTTGAAATATGAGATGTTGCAAGCGAAGTTTGCCTTATGAAGTCATTTGATTTTGCTTTATGCATGAAGATTGTCTCTTTCTTTAGAGGGATCCGATTTCCTCGTTTGTCTCGCCAAATCCGACAGATTGTACTATATTTGAAAAAACCGATAACTCCATATGGCAGCTAGAGTTGTTGACCGGGTGACTCATTGTTTTTCCATCTAATTTTTTCTCTAACCCTTTATCTAATACTCTATATACAGTATTCTTTAGACTTTGCTCAGATATGGGCAAAGTCTAAAGGGATTATTCTTATGTATCTGTTTCTTTCCGAGAAATAGTTTAATCTTTTGTGCACATACAGTTCTGCATTAAGCATGTGTAAATCAATATGTATAGCGGCAGCGAATGGAAAAGTCTATAGGATCAGCCGCATTTGCGAAATTACGATAGAAACAGTCTCCACTTAACATCGATTTCAGTAATACACTTCCAGGTATATTTTAGGGCAAGTCCAATTGAAACATATCACCATTACATTGAATTTGGATGCCTGCAATGGAGTCTGTTTAATCTTAAAGAACCGGTTGAGTGTATATAGGCCTTATAATCCATACGAGTTTCTGATTTTTTAATATTAATCTAATGTTTTATCAATCCACAAAATACTTAACATCTGAACATCAATTCCAGCAGTAACAACATTTAAAATATTCTTAAAATAACATTATACATGCATACAGCGTTAGCTATTCAGTTAGCTAATGGAGAGCCAGAAATAACACCATGGTCATACTAGAATGAAAGCTCTGAAACGATCTTTCTGGTTTCTAGCTGAAGACCTGGTATTTTGTATATGAACTTATTTCAGAATATAAAAAAGCTAAGTCGAAACTTCAGAGATGATATGCATTTCTAGGCAGCGGCGTAACCAGGATTTTTAGACCAATGGGCAAACTTCTATTGTGTCAGAAAAAAACGATGGACAAAATGGGTATGGTTTTTATTGATGGGCCAAAAACGTTTTGGTTCAACAAAGCATGGGTCGGCCGAGACAAATCTTTTTTGTATATAGCTAGGGTCCCGCGTCTTGCAGAAACTCGAATGAAATGAAATAAGGTTCTTTTAATCAAATATGCACCAAACTCAACTCTTAAGCCTGAGTCAGGTGTGTTTTAGTCTATTTCTGATGTTTCTGTTTATAATATTTATATTTCAAATTCAAGCACCAAAATCAAGACGAGAGTGAGTGCATGAAAAACAAGCAAAGAGTGCATGTGGGATTCAGACGGAAGAAAAAAATTACATCTACTGTCTAATTCAAAATTAAACAGGCAATTCTGAAAAAGTAAAATTTCAATGGGCAAATCTTCAAATGAAATGGGCAATTGCCTATTTGCTCCCTCCTCCTTAGTTACGCCGCTGTTTCTAGGGGTTCAGTGTTTCATGCTCTTAGCACAAATAAAATCATTTTCTTCATTTTCCATGATTTCTCCGACAGTTCGTGGCTTTTTCTCATCATACAAACAACAGAACTTGATTATATTGAAGAGCTGAAGGCCAGAATATTTCTGTGGTATTAGTAGATGACTGACAAAGTTATGAAAAAACCTCCAGCTCGTATCTCGCTGTCTTAATCGAGATACAAAAACTTTAGTTTTATTGTAACTTCTACTATAAGCAAACAAAAAAATGCATAGCGTTTGAAAGAAATCATACAGGCACAAATCCTTTTAGGCTTTATGAATCTTATTGAGATTTCACCCACTGCGCATATATCATTCATATTGAATCATTCATATCATTATTACATTTATATCATTCATATTTAACAATTAATGAGAGCACTC